ATCTCGAACCCGCGGGCTCAGGCAATCCACTCACCTCAGCCTCCCAAAGGCGCGGGATGACAGGCTGAGCCACCGAACCTGGCTGAGTTCTAAGAGTTTTATTCAGAGCTCACGTGAGTGGCTGCGACCGAGGGTAAAACAAACCCAAAAGTTTTGAGAAGTAGTCCCGAGGCGGACAGACTGCAATTCTGTTTTATACCTTTTAGGGAAGCAGAAGCTATAAATCATGAATCAATGCACGGAGGTTTTAAGTTGGCTTAGCCCCAAAAGGTGGGATATCTTGAAGCGGAGGCTAAGGTGGATTCACAGATTCTTCAACTTGCAGTTGGTTAAAGGAGTGAGACTTTGTCTAAAAACTTGGAGGTGGTGGTAGAGTGTTTAATTGTAGCATACGTCATCATTCAAGAAGTCTGCTCATCATGCTAATGCTCTACCACCAGAGTCGTGTTGTGAGACCAAGGCACAAGGCCCCAGGTGAGTGATCCATTAAGCAAGACTGATGGTCTGCAGAGGTGACTCCAGGTTCCAAGGAAGGAATTTGGAGCAAAGGGCAGTGGCCAGAATTTAGTCCTCACCAGGTAGGTAGTTAGGTAGTTAGTGCTACCCACTGAGCTTGTGGCAGGTCACCACCAAGGATGCAATCTTTTGACGTAAGAGTTTTTTCAGGAGTTTAAAATAGACAAGTCAAAGTATATCTCAATATACCATTAACAGTTTAGCATGAAATCCTTTAAAATAATTCTCTGGTTGTCCTGTGGGCTTTTGGAGACTTGTGTATGTGTGTGCTGTGGGGGTCAGATGGCGTGCACAATCAAATCTTCTCACTCCAACCTGGGGGTCAGAGTTAGAAGGAGAAATAAGTTTGGGGAAAAAGTCAAAGTGGATCCAATAGGACACCAACCTTGGAGCTCATGGTGTCTGGGGGGTGGGGGTGGGGGCTGCTGAGGCACCTTAATCGGTTACACTGCAGAGGAACATTAAGAGGGAAAGCAAGTCCTGAGGCGCTTTATTTTAATCCTGGAATGTCCGAGGCAGGAGAGACCCTGCAGACCACATCTCCTGTGGTTTCTAAATAATGGTCCTCAGGCCTGTACTGGTCTGTGATGAAGTTTTCACCCATTCTGTGCAGAATGGAAAAAGGACAATATATCACATCTTTAAAAATGTCATCTCTTCCATTTCATTTCCCTACAGGTATGACTGTCTTACAGGTTTCAGCTAAAAATTGTTTTATGAAAAGATGCTGAAAAATAGAGGATAGTTTTCTATTTTCTTTTTTTCTTTTTTTAAGGGATGGAGTCTCACTCTGCAGGATAGTAGGTCAATCATAGCTCATTCTGCAGCCTCAAACTCCTAGGCCTCAGTAATCCTCCCATCTCAGCCTCCCAAACAGATAGGACTACAGACCCATGCCATTACACCCAGCTAATTTTTAAATATGTTTTTAGCAGAGATGCGGGGTGAGGGGGTGTCTCACTATGTTGCTTAGGCTTGGTCTCAAGCTATCCTCCTGCCTCAGCCTCCCAAAGTGCTGGGGTTACAAGCATGAGCCACTGCACTCTAAGGATCAGCTCTAATAATCATTAGTGTTCGTTCTTTTGCACAGTGTTGTGAGCACATTTAATTCCTTCCATCCTCCTGTCATCTGTGTATTATTTATGTAACTAGATTGAAGCCCTGCAAAGGTAAGTAAGTATTCTCATGTCCACTGTGGTAAGCTGACAGCCCAGGATAGTTTTTTTTGTTTTTTTAAATACTTTTACTTGGGCATTAAAATTAAAGCTGAAAATCTTAGGTTTAAATTTTTTGACATTTTACTTGCCTGTGAAATCCAAAAGTCTAGGAACTGAATAGTCATATCTCTCCTGTTAATAGCAAAGCAGTAAAGGCCCAGAAGTAGAGAAATGAATGGCCCAAGAGAAAAACCAGTTGGGTCGGACACTACTGATGGTGGCATGTGCAGGACATTCCTCCAACTGTCCCTTGTCTGCCCTTGCCTTGTCTCAAGGCAGGTTCTGCTCCACACCAGCACCCTGTGAACAAACCAGATCCAGAGAAGCTGGTTTAAAACACCTAGATCCCAGCCTGTTCTCCCAAACACCCCCAGACCATCAGCATCTGCCATTTCTCCACCTCAGTACCAGACCCTTTGCCCACTCACTGCCTGCTTCTGAGCTTTCTCTTTGACTTCAAAAATAGGCGTATTTGGAGGAATTACTTGAGTGCTGATACTGTTTCAAGCCATTAACTACAGATTTGATTGTACATTTTATGATCTATGGTCATGTTCATGGATGCCTCTGCTTCTCCACCTGGATGATGAACACCTCGAGAGCAATAGTTTTGTTTTACCTTCCTTCTAGGGCCCAGCACATGCCTACTGTACTGGGTACTGTCATAGAAACAGAATTAATCATGAATGAACGCGTTCTTTGCACAGTGAATGCTTTATTCATTTCAAAATATAGGGATGTCTCTGCTGTGGTCCTCTTGGTTTGCAAGTGACAGAGAGAAACCAGGAGACTGGGCCTGGATGGGAGCGAGGAGGGAGCCCCAGAAAACCATTTATTCCTAGGGCTCTGGGCAGTGGTGCTTGGAAACGCAAAGGGAAGAAGATAGCATGCAGTGGAGGCGAGAGGAAGAGGAGTGAAGCATCCCTGAGGGAGGTCAGGAATCCTGGAATGATGCTGTGGTGGGCCTGCACCTTGGCTCAGCCCAGGCGGCAGCCTGTCATCCAGTAGGAGAGTGGTCGGCCTGAACAGTGCAGCTTCCATGCCATCCTGTGGAGACAAAGCACTTGGCTTACTTCCCACTGAGTGGTTCTTCTCCACACATGTGACCCCGTTCTCTATGATCTCCCATGCAGAGCAACGCCCCAAATTTCCATGACTAGCCCTGATCTGTCCTCCACTGGACCCTGTGACTCTTCCTACATATTTCACTCCTCCTGGTGTTGGCCCTGGATCAATATACGTCCACATCTTCAAATCCTCATCTCCCTCTGAAGGGGGAGAGCACTGTTTACAGGGCTGAGAGTTACTTAAAAACAAAACAAAACAAAACTCCTAGGTGCCACCATCCACTCTTCCTTAGAAAGGATCAGCTCTAATAACCATCAGTGTCTGTTCTTTTGCACAGTGTTGTGAGCACATTTAATTCCTTCCATCCTCCCGTCACCTATGGAGGCAGTCATTTGTATTATTTATGTATCTAGATTGAAGCCCTGCGAAGGTAAGTAAGCATTCTCATGTCCACTGTGGTAAGCTGACAGCTTGGGGGATGTCTGTCCAGCTGACGATGCCACGCTTTCTGCGGGAAATGCAACTGCTTGTATAAAATTAATATAGGGCCACAGGGTAAGCATCGTGGAAGAGACCTGAATCCTGCAAAGTTGCCAGCATAAATGGAAAGCTGGCATATCTGTGGTTGCTAAGTTCTGTTCCTAAGCTTGCCTTCTTCCTTGCATGATTGCCCACACATAGTCACTTCAATCGAGAGGAGTCACTAATAAATGTTCATCCTCATGTGCTAACCCCTGGGGAAAGCTGCTGTGAGACTGATGAACTTATTTTCCCTTAAACAGTGAGCCTCAGGTCCTGCAGAGCTCCCTGATGGGATCCAGGAGTTTGATTGGCCTCCCACTTTACCTTTCTGCAAAGCTACAAAGGTCAATCAATGGTGCTCGGCCACGGGAACCAGTCATTGTCCCCGAGTGTGCTTCTCTAGGTATACTCGCTTCCTGCCTGTGAGTCAGGTCGAGGGGAGGGGGGACAAGGCTCGTAACTTTCCCAACTGCTATTGTAAAACCTAAACTTGGTCTTTGAGATCTTTTTCAGATTTTGCATTTTGGTGGCCGTGACCCACACCAACACACCAAGGAGCTGACCTGGCCTGTCCAACCCCCACTGCTCTGCATACCAAGACAGTTTGGACCCCTCTATGACTTTACCCCCAACCAACCAGCATGCCTGATCTGCCACCCTCTGCCCACCACATTATCTTAAAAACCCAAGCCTAAATATTCTCGGAGAGGTAGGTTTGAGAAACATCTCCTGCCTCCCACTTGGCTGCCTCGTTCTTTACTGCTACGGCCACAGGCCAGAGGGGCCCTGCAGCAGCCACGGTGGTACCGTTTAACTCCCCCCTGCGCCCACAGCTGATTGGACCAAGGGGGAACACGTGATCCACGTTGAGCCAATCAGATCCTCTCTCTCAGGAACTTGGCCTGGGACTGAGCCTAGCCAGTCTCTAGGGTTGCTTAGGGCTTCAGCCCTTGAACTTGTAGGGTCCCAGAGTCTATCTTGCACTGGGGAGAGGGCAGAGCTGGTCTGTAGAGGGAGTCATGAAGCAAATGCACCAAGAGAAGCCAAAACCTGCCCTGGCTGCGTTCTCTTCCTGAGGCCCAGCTGCACCCCTTGAGTGGGCTCAGGGAGACACTGTATCCTCTCAGAAAAGATCTATTCCCCCTATTGCAACCAAATGAGTTTTGTTTAATATGGTATCAGAAAAGAACCACACCCCAGGGCTTTTTTAAAATTTTGAGACAGGGATCTCATTCTGTTGCCCAGGATGGAGCACACTGGTGCTGTTGCGGCCCACCACAGCTCGAGTCTCCGGCGCAGGCCAGCCTTCTGCCTCAGCCTCTCAAGTGGCTGGGACTACAGGTGTGTACCACCAGGCCTGGCCCATTTTTAATTTAATTTATTTTTTTGGTAGAGACAGGGTTTCACTATGTTGCCCAGGCTGGTCTCAAACTCCTGGGCTCAAGCAATCCTTCCCGCCTGGCCTCCCAAAGGATTTGAGGTGTGAGCCACCACATCCAACCTTACCCCAGGTCTTCTAACTCCCAGTTCCAAGCCTGTCCACTGTCCCACATCTTTCTAGGCGCGGCAAGGGCGTGCTCACGTGTCCTCGCCTCCCGCCCCTTTCTCGTCCCTCCTCCTCCTGGCGGCTCTGCCTGCTCAGTCCCACCATGTCCTCCTCACCAGCTGTTCATGCCCTCTGCTCCAGACACAATCTTTTTTGCACAGGAGAGGCCTGAGAGAAGGTTAGGATTCAGCATTTCTGAAAGAGAGGAAGCAAAAACCTGTGAGGGCATGGAGGACAATGCCAAAGACAGAGACCAACACCAGCCCTCCCTGCACTGGCCTGTGCCACCTAGAGGCTGAGTACTTCCAGGTGGAGGTGGGCCTCCCTCCCAGGGATGGGGTAGCACAGGTGAAAGCAGGAGGGGCAGGGGCACTGAGAGGCTAGCCCATTCACTACTGTTCTTCCTAGCAAGGCAAGATGGTGGTTCACCCACAGCTTGGGGGGGGGGGCGGTTCTAGGAAGAGGAAATGCCAAAACAGCACAGGGCTGGGGTGAAGCCCTGCCTAATGAGGGGAGCTCCTCGGTGAGGAACCCAGGGACATTAGTCAGAGTACAAAGGAGGAGGTGAGGGGCAGAGTCACAGGTCCTGTCCAGCCTCCTGGATCAGCTCCTGTGGTGGGGAGTTTGCACTCCACCCTTGGCCAGACCATCAGCTGAAGGCAGGACTGCTGAATGGTTACAGTCTTCAGGGCTACCAGCCTGGCATTTAGTGCTGGTTCTCTTTTTAAGCCTCGGTTTTCTCTTCTATAAGACAGGGATCATGGTTAGTTTCCTTTAGAAAACAATTAAAAAATCTTTTTTTTTGTTGTTTTTTTTTGAGTTGGAGTCTCACTCTGTCACCCAGACTGGAGATCCTTCCGCCTCAGCCTTCCGAGTAGCCGGAACTACAGGTGCGCGCTACCACGCCCAGCTGATTTTTTGATTTATTGTAGAGATGAGGTCTCGCCAAGTTGCCCAGGCGGGTCTCGAACCCGCAGGCTCAGGCCATCCACTCACCTCAGCCTCCCCAAGGCGTGGGATTACAGGCTGAGCCACCGAGCCCGGCTAAAAGATCATTTTGTAGAGATGGAGGTCTCACTATGCTGTCCAGGCTGGTCTCGAACTCCTGACTTCAAGCAATCCTTCTGCCTTGGCCTTTCAAAGTGCTGGGATTGCATTTGTGAGCCATTGCACCCAGCCACGAACAGTTTCTGTTGCATGGAAAGTTGGTGAAATGGGCTAAGCCTGCCGAGTGCTTAGTGTATAAAATGCTCTCAACAAATGCTGGTTGCTGCAGCTGCCCTACCACGACCGGCTCAATGGGGACTTTCTGGGTCCTGCCCAAGGACTACCCGGGTTCCTAATGGGATGGGCAGTGGGCCACTTGTCCAGGCCTCTGCTGTGTACAGGGATTCCCTGAGGCTTTGAGCCACTGTCTGGGGCAGCCCCAGAGAGTCCCAGTGGGCAGGAAGAGCCGTCCCGTGAGCAGAGGCTGGCTTCCTCCCTCACCGCTCCCACCCCAGCCAGGCCAGACCTTGACAGTCCACTTGACACAGGTTCTTCGTGTGGCTCCTGTAATCGTTGCACCAGTAGTGGCTGTTGATCTGGAAGAGGCCATAGTCAGAGCTGCCGTCTACATTTTCGTTCACCTTGGAGATGTTGAAACTGCTCTCCACAAAGGCCAGGCACAGCCCTTAGGATGGAGAGAAGGGGGCCAGGTTTAGAGGGCACCAGGTTGTGGGGGCAGATGCAGGAGGCACGGAGGCAAGGAAGCCAACAAGAGGAAAAAGGCCAAGAGGCCAGGTGGGGCCAGAGGGACAGCAGCGCCCGCCGGCTTCCCTTTCCATGCTTCGGTCCCTCCACCCACCCATCTGTCCAGCCACTCATCCATCCTTTCATCCAGCCAAGCTTTCTGCACTTACTGAGCACCTGCAGTGTGCCAGGAACCATGCAAGGCCCAGATGCTGCCTGCAAGGGGCCTCTGTGCCAAGGAGAAAGATGTGGACCCCAAACCCCACAAGACAAGAGGAAAGGCTGCCACCCAGGTGCTCCCTCTTTGAGCAAAAGAGAGACAGCCCTTCCTGCAGAAGGATGAAGCCTTTGCATTGGCTGCTACCTCTGCCTGGAATGTTCTTCCCCAGACACTTGGGTGCTGCCCAAGTTCTCCTCCTCAGAGAGGCCCTCCCTGACCTCCCCCTCTTAACACAGTGTCGCCATCAGTCCCTGCTTCATTCCTCTTCATGGCATTTGCCCCACCAGGCAGTGCCTTGGGTGTCTGTGGGTCTACTGCTGCTCTGTTCCCCTGGAATATGACATCGTGCGGGAAGGGGACCGATTTATATATCCCCAGTGCCGAAAACAGTCCCTGTACGCAGTCAGCACTCAGTTAATCACTGCTGAATGACTACGGAATGCTGGGAAAGGCTTCCTGGAGAGGGCTGCTTTTTGAACTTGGCTTTGAGGGATCAACAGGAGAGGGAAGCTGGCCACGTGGTGCATGCCCAGGAGAGGAGGAGAAATGGCACGGACGGCATGTGGTACTCACAGTCGCTCAGGGAGTAGCCCTCAAAGCCATCCATATCCTCCTCATGCAACACCTTGGCCAGGTCACAGCGCCCAATGAGGTTGGCCTGATTCTGGGTGAGGATGCAGCTGACCAACGCGAAAAGTAGCACCTTTGTCATCCTTGGGTTGGGCGGTGTGGCCGAGGCCTCTAGTTCCCAGAGTCTCACAGGCTTTCCGCTAATCTTTGCCGAGAACCTGGGAAACTGGAGAGAACGGCCAAATGTCCTCACTCACAGCACCACAGCCTCCACCTCCTGGGCACCTCCATGCCTGGCTCATTTATTGATTTTTATAGCGATGAGGTCTCACTATATCACCCAGGTTGGTCTCGAACCTCTGGGCTTGGGCAATCCTCCCGCCTCTGCCTCCCAAACTGCTGGATTACAGGTGTGAGCCTCCGTGCCCAGTCTCCTTTCCCCTTCTTGATGGTGTTCTTTGAGACCTCCAATTTTAATGATGTCCAATGTATCCATTTTGTTGTTGCTGTTGTTGCTTGTGCTTTTAGTGTCATATCTAAAAAAACCTTGTGTAATAGTTTTGAAGGGAATCTGGAACAAGTCGACCATTAAAATAAGTGATAACAGATGACAGTCCATGGACTGTGACAGGAAGTTGCGAGTCCATTGTCATCATCATCAATAGACAAGCACCCAGGGACAGGGCAGGGGTGCATCCTGACAACAGAATCTGCCTGATAAGTGTGGAGGTGTCATGAAGCTCAAAAGTCATTCTGCAGCCATCATGGATTGGTTCGAGCAAGCATCATCCATGGCTGCTGAATTGGAGGTGGCAAGAAGCTGGGTAAGGAACTGGACACATGCACAGACTGCTTATTAGTTGCACAGGGAAAACAGTGACTATGCAGAGAACAGATTGTGTTTGACCTTGCAGTCAACATGAAAACCTTCAAGGAGGGACAGAGGGATGTTGTGTGTCTTCAGTTGTGACACCCCAAGAAGGACACATCACTTATGTCGGATTCTGGCCAGGGGTGCACAGCCTGTGTCTAATCCTGAAGAAACATCAGACATCAAACTGATCAAAGATCTATCGAATAACTGGTCTGTATTTTTCAAAATGGTCAACACTATGGAAACAAAGACTAGGACTGTTTCTGTCCTGAGAGAGTGTGTCTTTTCCCCTGAAACTAGGTGTATGTTGCTGAGGGTGAAACTGTGCTCTGAGGAGCTAGATAAACCAGGTACTAAAAGGAATTCTTCAGTTAACAGGATGGCAACTTGGCTGGGCCTGGTGGCTCACGCCTGTAATCCCAGCACTCTGGGAGGCTGAGGCGAGAAGACTGCCTGAGTCCAGGGGTTCGAGGACTGCCTGAGTCCAGGGGTTCGAGACCAGCCTGGGCAATTTGGTGAGACCTCATCTCCACGATAAGTCAAAAAATTAGCTAGGAGCGGTGGCACATACCTCTATTCTCAGCCACTTGGGAGGCTGAGGTGGAAGGATCTCCTCAGCCCAGGAGGTTGAGGCTGCAGTGAGCCATGAGTGTGCCACCCCACTCAGGCTGGGTGACAGAGTGAGACTCCAATTCAAATTATATATATAATAATTTTTTTTAAAAGACAAGAAACAACTTGCTGAAACACTGACACTCTCTCCACTTGTAAAATGACACAACTGGCTAAAATGGGTTAGAACCACCTGGCCAGCGGGAGTCTGCGCAGACTGAGCTTGCTGATGTCACAGCCTGAACCTTCCCCTGAATTTGTACCTGCAGTCCACAAGGAAGAAGAAGGGAGAATGCATGCCCAAGGACTTGCTGGCCTTCCCCTCTCTTTCCACCCATCACCCGCTAATCCCAGAATCCATCCTTGAGTCTTTTCTAATGAAAGCACTGCTTGGAAGCCAGCACAGGGTGACAGACTCCTTGTTAGTTGACTTGCAATAAAAGTCTTTTCTGGTCACAGAAACCCAGTGTCATGGTACTGGCCTCTAGTGCAACAGGCAGCCAGCCCTTTTGCTCAGTGACAATCAAAAAAGTCTGGCCAGCCTGGGCAATACAGCGAGACCCTGTCTCTACAAAAGAATTAAAAAAAAAATTAGCTGGGCATGGTGGCTAAGAGACCATAGAGGAAGCAAGCCCACCAGAATAGTCATCTCATCTGAGCAGAAGCCCCCAGACACTTGAAGGCGGTGGATGAAGAAACCTGGGCCTTTTTTTGAGTTGGAGTCTCACTCTGTTTCCCAGGCTACAGTGCAATGGCACACTCACAGCCTCTGCAGCCTTGACCCGCTGTGCTCAGGTGATCCCTGTACCTCAGTCTTCCAAGTAGCTGGAACCACGGGCACATGCCACCACACCCAGCTAATTTTTTGATTTATTGTAGAGATGAAGTCTTGCGAAGTGGTCCAGGCTGGTCTCAAACCCCTGAGCTCAGGCAATCCTCTCACTTCGGCCTCCCTAAATGCTGGGATTCCAGGCTTGATCCACCCTGTGCCCAGCTCTGGTCTCTGTCTTCTAAGACTCACTTTGGAAGCATTCTTTTGCTTCTCACCAACACCCCCTCCGCCAAAATTGCCAGATGTAGCAAATAAAATGACAGGATGTCCTAGAAGTTAGAATTTCAGATGAATGACCACCTACCCCTCGCTGACTCAGGAGGTCCCTTGGAGACAGGTGTCGCTGCGCCTGGGAAGCAGGGAGCTCCGCCCTGCCCGTGAAGCCACCTTCTGGGGTTCTCTCGGGGAAGGCTGGTTGCAGCAGGAGGGTTTTCACACCCTTCAAGGCTTACCTGTGTCCCATCCCTCTCCGGGTCCTGGTCCTGGCCAGTCAGGTTACCTGTGAGGTTCTGTGGAGCAGGGCCTTTGGGCAGGGGCCGCCTCTCCCTCACCAGCTGCACTCCACCCACCAGCTAACAGCCCTCCATGTTCTAAGGAAGGTGAGAGTGCCAGGCCAGCCCAGCCTTCTGGAACCCCAGTTCTATGATGTCATCCATCTCCTGGAAGTTCGCTAGTCTTAACCATGCAAATTGGTCAAATTTCAGGTGAAAATGGCAGCTGGGCTTGGAAGGACATGGATGACTGTGAGGAAAATGCCGGGTGGGACTGGTGAAGGGTGCTGGCTGTTCAGTCTACCTGCCTCCCTTTCTTTCTGGGAACAGTGCTACATTTTGGGGGAATGTCTTCTCTCATGGGGTTTCATGGGGGGGCTGCCAGTCCTGGGGCTCTGCCCCCAGCAACAGGGAATGGCTGTGCCCCAACCAGTGTGTGTGTGTGTGTGTGTGTGTGTGTATTTAAAAAAAATTTTTTTTAAGAGACGAGGTCTCACTATGTTGTCCAGGCTGGTCTCCAATTCCTAGGCTCAAGTGATCCCCCCACCTCAGCCTTCTGAGTAGCTGGGACTACAGGCATGAGTTCTTGAACTCCTGGCCTCAAGTGATCCTCCTGCCTTGGCCTCCCAAAGTGCTGAGATTACAGGTGTGAGCCACCATGCCTGGCCCTCACCCACTATATTTTGAAGTGGCACCAAGAGGACCAGCTCAGTTGCTCACAGGACACCCATGGTGTCCTATGGATGCAGGGCCAGAGGACACAGCCTGTTCAAGTTTCCCAACAGGGAGAGGAGTCTGTACAGGATTTTGGTGCCCAGGTCCACCCTTGCTGGTGCCCAAACACGTCCCTTCCTTTCCTTCAGTTCTGGGATCCCATAAATGTGGCCACCTGTGTAAGCAAGTTTGAGCTGGATTTCTGTGACTTGCAACCTAGGGGTCCTGTTACAGCTGGCATTGGACTGACCATCTGTGGCATGGTGACCCAACAACCTGTTACCTCCACATGAAAGCCACAACATCTCAACATATTCAGAAATCAAGAAAGTCTGGGAGAAACTTCCACCAACTGTAGTGCAAAGGAAGCAAGGGAGAGAGAAAGGTTCGTTACCCATGGCCGCTCTCCCCTCTGAGACAGGATGGTGGGGCCCAACAGAAAGATCCAGGGGGCTTCGGAGCAGGCAGTGGTCCTCCCAGCAGCACTCAGCACCCTGGGATGGCAAGCCAGCAGGGCAGGAGTGGAGGCCAAACCCCAGCAGGAGAGCATTCTGGGACACCATGTTATGAGGTACCTTTGGGGGCCAGAAATCTATAGGTGTCTTGGGGGACCCAGATAAACTCATCTCATAGATGGGTGAGCACCCCGGACTTCATGCTGGAAATTCAGTCTCTGAAACGCAAAATTTGAGAGGGGCCGATGTTAGCATTCAAAGGGGGACCAGAGGGACTCTCCACGCCAGACCCCCACTGGGAACAGTGCCCAAACAGTGCCACATTTGGGGGAAACTTCTCTCATGGGGTTTTGTGGGGAGCTGCCAGTCCTGGGGCCCTGCTCCCAGCAACAGGAGATGGCTGTGCCCCAATGTGTGTGTGTGTGTGTGTGTGTGTGAGACAACCATGAGCCCTGGTAGGTTCCTACCCATTCCAAGAACTGGACAACCCAAGTGGGAGTCCATGAACCAGGTCCAGGGGGACATCTCGGGGCAAGAGGACAATGAGTGACACAGGTCATCTGTCTAAGTGTTTACAAGGGACAAGCCAAGCATGGCAGCTCATGCCCGGAATCTCAGCACTTTGGGAGGCCAAGGTGGAAGGACCACTTGAGGCCAGGAGTTCAAGACCAGAAACTCACACCCGTAGTCAGCGGCACAACTCACTTTCCAGGGTCTTTCTTTCCCTGGAGAAGCAAACAGGAGCCCTTCCTGGGACTGCTGAGCACCCCAGCGGTATTCCTTACTTATCAAATGTACGAATGGAGCTGGCCTCTTCTGTCTGGTAACCTCAAGTCCCAAGAGGCCCAGGCCTCTTGCCTACAGGGTTTTAGGACCTGTTCCCTTGGTCAGTCTCCAGGCATCCCCGTGGGAAGAGTCTGCGGTTGTGCTGTCCTTCTCAGAGGAAAAACCCCCGGGTGTGATCACTCGACATCAAAGCCCCAGACAGGCTGAGACTGTGGCTGCAGGCAAGTCCCAGCCTGGCCTGGAGACGCTTAGTGCCCAGTTCCCTGCACACTCCTGTCCCCCAGGACCAAGTGCCTGTCCACCCTTGGCCAGACCTGAGAAGCAGAGCCTGGAAGCCCAGAGCCTGGCATGGGTCGGCCCACGGTGGTAAGTGAGGAG